AGTAACCCGAGTCTTCTGACTTCTCAACTAGCAAATCTCAGCTCTTGGTCACAGAAGTGGAAGCCAAAGTTTGCTCAAACTGCCAAGCTGCAGTAGCAAAATGAGGTGAAGGGCATGCAAAGAGGACACATTAAATGGGGCTCCCTGACACAGTACATGTAACCTCTACATCAGTCTCTTTAGATACATGGCTCAACATGAGGGAAAGACTGAGAGTTGCATTTGCCTTCTTAAAAATACACACAGAAAACAGAAGTAGTAGAAAGAGCAAGCTAAAAGGCCCAAACAGCAATGAACTCTGCAGCTTGACAATTGAATCTTGTGTGAAGGATTGCTCTGTGATGTGTAACCCAACTAAAAGACAATACTTAGAGACATCCCACGCTGCAGCTCTAGAGTTAAGGGCTGATTACTGTTTGAAACGGCTCTACAAATCTTTGTTGTTCAAGGGCAACAACAACTTGAAAACTGGTATGTTATTAATGTCCTGGGATAAGCTGAGCAAAAGCAGTTGGGGACTATATGAAGGATCACACAGTAACGCTCCTGAAAATGACCTTGTTTTACATTTTTGGTACTCTCAAGTTTTGCCCAGTGCTGGAAATAAACAGATGTATAAGAGGATGAGGGTAATGCCCTCAAGCAGCCTTTGAGGACATCTGGTACTCTCAAGAACAAACTGAAATGAAAGACTTCAAAACTGTTGGTGTTTATGGAGAAATAGTGTCTAACTGTGAAAAGCAAGTTGACAGCAGCAATTTTACCGACAGCAGGCTTTAACTCTCCCTAAGTTTTCCTACAAAATACAAGCATCAGTAGGTTCCAGATATTGGGGGTGGGAGGGAAGGAGAATCTATCCTTTTTCATCTTTAAATTAACTGAAAGCACTGCCAGCAATTTTTTACTTCCCCATCTTCTGATTCCATCCAAGACACTCTTCCAATTGGCCTTCTGCACTATGCACTCCATGTGAATCAGTATTTACCAGCTCCTGCAGGCTAACAGTTTCACCAGCATGCCTCCTCTCGAGATCTTTTATTCCCTAGGCTTCCAAGATCAGCCACCTTTAACTACTCCTATGCACACCATTTGAAAAGTCTTCCTTGCTTCTCTTCTGTAATTTCTTGCATTAACAAACATTCTGTCCTTAACTCTGCTCCCTTGATCTCTGGGAGTAATTTCATCCAAATCCACAAATTCAAGCATCATTCCCTGGGATGACTCTCAGATATTCTCCTCCTCCAGCCACTTCTGATTTCCCAAATGTTTGACCACAAGCTCAAATGCAGGAGGACTGGAACACACCCCTCCTCTTCTTCCTCACTCACTGACTGCCACCACCTCACCTGACCCTTCAGATCTGTAACGCTGAGCTAACTCAGCCTGGAATCTCCCTTCATCTTCAAAACAGAAATTATGACAGCACCATGTCAAGTCTTCCTATTTATCACCCAAAAGTCATGCTTTTCCATCCATTTGCCCAACTAAAATTCCTGTTCAGAAAAAACTACAAAAACTACAGTTAATACAATGACATTCACAAAATTACCTTTTCAGCTTATAGAAACATTGTTGTAAACATGAGAACTAAACACACAGTACATGAATAAAACAAATACCTGATAGTCTGAGGTCATAATAAGTCCACCTGAGGTAGTGGTAGGAGGAACAACTCTCACTTTTTTCAGTGGGGGTCCCTGCGTGTGACTGTTGTCCTGGTTCCCTGGATGACCAGTCCCGTTAGTATGGTTATTGCCCTGCTGCTGCTGCTGGTTCTTCTCAATTGTTTAAACACAAAAAAAAATTTCAACTCAAAAGCAGTACGTGAAATCACATGAAAACAGGAAATAGTGTGAAAGCCAGTGAAGCGTGATGATACTGTTCTTCTAGTACTTACTTTGTCTCCTTTATCATCTGGTTCTTCTTCTGTTAAAAATTCTCGTTTTGGGTAAGGGATTTGACAACCTGCAAAAACACTGCCCCCCAAAAAAGTCTATTTATCACTGTATTAGAACAGAAGGGTTAGACCTGTAAGATTCATACTTCACCCATGCTAGTTTCAAGTTGCCTGAGCCACAGCCTAACACCTGGAACTAATGAAGAATTTTTTCCCTGTCCTACTTTCATAATAGTCTAAACTCAGTAAACATATTCACATTTATTTTTCATCTTCAGTTGCCTCTTATATACTCATGTAAAATCCTAACTGTATTTTCATGGTTTCTGGTAACCAAACTGGTGGCTGGGAAGGTACACCATCTGTTAGATATCTGCAAGGGCACAAAGAGCTATCTTAATGCAGCTAAAGTGTAATTCACAATCTCAGGGCTAACTAAAAATACTCCTGGAAACTCCACTGACTGAATAAAAACACCTGGAACAAAGTTTAAAAATAACTAGGATTTTTTTCTGTCAATTTACATCTTGTGGTATACATGAATTTGCTGCTGCTAGTGCAAGCTATTATTTACCTGTCCTTGATCAGTAGAATGTATTTATAACAAAGTGTCTGTATGCCTGTTAGCATGACTCACTGTGTATTCACATTAAAATGCCAATCTAAACTAGAAAAAAAAAAGCCAAACATGGTCCTAAAAGCAGTTTCTGCAAAAGCAAGTCATTCACATGACAACATAAATCACGGAGAAAGGTCAGGAGCTGTTATAAATAATCCAGTAAGTTTTAGTGAAATAATGTAATTTTTAATTAATTGCTTATAAAAATACATACCATGCTTTCTAAATTCTTCCCTAGATAATGGTAGAGAATCATAGACACAATGCACTAATAGTTTTTCTAAACAGACATGCAATCACACTCTCTGGCTAGTCCTTGGGGTGGGTGGTAGGGGGCGGGTTCATTTTTAATGAATTAATTGTCCCTGAATTTTCTTCCTTTTGTAAATCTCCCTGTACAAACAAAAAAGACGAGTGTCTACAGCAAATGGATTTAAGTTGTTAAGGATGACAGCACTGAGACACAGAGTTGACTTCCCCCACCCACTGAATTTACAAGAAGAGCTAAGGCAGAAAAATGTAAACTAATTAGAGTGTCATCTGGCATTCTGGAGCAGAGAAGTGAACCTGCGGGCACTTAGCAGTTGTCTACAAAGATCTGTAGCATGCATAATCAACCTGTCGGTGAATAACAAGATTAGTGCTGTGACTAATAGGATCAAAGTTCCATAAAGCAAGAGATTAATAAGAATGCTACTTAATTTTTAAAGCCACAAATGGCATTTTAGTGGTTATAGCCTGCTTTGGTTGTTAGAGAGTAAGTATTTAGCTCAATATTCACAAATACATTTATAGCAGAGAGAAAGCACACATTTCTAAAGCATCTCTGGATGTACCGATAGGTTAATAAACTGACCACTTACTCAGATGTGGGAAGAGGATCTTCTAAGAAATAGGGATCCTGCATAGCCTGTTCTGAGGTAATTCTCTTTATTGGATCCATAGTGAGCAATTTCTGAAGCTGCAAAAATAAATTATAAAAAGCTCTGTATTACCAAAACCATTTACAGAAACTTCACCGTATTATTCCTGAAAGAAAAGCTGAAACAAATGTGTCTGAACTCAAAACCCTAACCATAAATAGCATAATCACATTCTTCTCTTGTTAAAATAATAACTTCGTTTCCCATCGAAGAACATCTATTTTTACTTGCAAAGCCCAGGACACACAGTTAGTTCCACTCACAAAAGTTCTAACAAAAACTTTTAAGAGATTTTCTATGATATACCAGGAGTTTTAATCGTAGAATCAGAGAATAGTTTGGGTTGGAAGAGACCTTTAAAGATCATCCAGTTCAACCCCCTTGCAATGGGCAGGGACATCTTCAACAAGATCAGGTTACTCAGAGCCTCATCCAACCTGAACTTGAATGTTTCCAGGGATGGGGCATCTACCACCTCTCTGGGCAAGCTGTTGCAGTGCCTCACCACTGTCATAGTAAAGAATTTCTTCCTTATATCTAATCTAAATCTGCCCTCTTTCAGTTTAAAGCCATTACCCCTTGTTCCATCATGATCTGCCCTTGTAAAAATTCCCTCCCCATCTTTTCTGTAGGCCCTCTGTAAGTACTGGAAGGCTGCAATAAGGTCCCCCCCGGAGCCTTCTCTTCTCCAGGCTGAACAGCCCCAACTCTCTCAGCTGGTCCTCGTAGGGGAGGTGCTCCAGCCCTCTGATCATCTTCATGGCCTGCCTTTGGACTCACTTCAACAGCTCTATGTTCTGCTTGTGTTGGGGGCCCCAGGAAAGTACATTTTCTCTCCTCAGCCTTCAGTTTTAATGGCATGGTTAAGAACATAATAAATACGTACTACCACCATCAACCACGACATACATCATCAACAAGACCTCACAATAACTTATTTCAAGTGCTCTGAGTCTGCATGTACTCTTTGTAGAATATCAGTTTGAACAGAACAATTCTTGTTCTCTCAAACAGCTCAAAATGCAATCCCAGGAGCCAGAAAAGCCAAAAAATGTGAAAGAATTGCCAAAATGCTGAAAAACATCACAATCAAAATAACATTGCAAGATTCTGGCATAATTTCTGGCAATTAGGTTATAAAGCTGTCCATCACATGCTGACAAGATGTAAGCAAACTTGGTCATAATCGGCAACAGAAAACAGACACCAGAAAAATTTAATGATTGCATGAAATCATTATCACACAGGGGATCAAAACTCCTCTTTTGCCCCCTTGTTCAAGGGCCAGCACAGAAGTGAACCTTACACTTATCATTACAATACTTTCTGTGTTAAAAACTGTTGAATCTAAGGTCACCTGACTGAATGACATAATTAAAATGCAGTAAACTATATATAAGCAATGCATGGGATAATCACTGCAGTTCATACGGACAGAAGTAACCAAATGGAAGATGAATTGCCACTCAATTAACCAGGAACAGCATCTGCATACACATTTTCTAGGGTATAAATAAGTAACCAGAAAAAAATATTGTGAAAGTGGAAAAAAAAAGTAAGCTGCAAAAGCAGGAAGGAGTCAAAGTTGTCTCATGTTAAGACATCAATTCTGTATGTGAAAAGGGATCATGTGCATGAATGTCAGTAAAGAGGGAAAAAAATCCGTTTAATGCAAGTTGGGAGATCAAAACAGTTCATTTTTGACAATGACAACAATCTCTGGATTTACTAGTCCTGGAATTATTAGTTCTGGGATATTTTACAATAGTAGATCTAAACAGGTTTTTTATCTGTTCTGATGCATAGAGTAGAAGGGCTGTGAGACAGCTTGTGGAAGAGTAAGATCCTGAAGTATCTTTGGAAGAAGTGGTAGAAAGAGCTTTGCTGGACTTGTTCAGGCTCTGGTGGAGCAGCCCAAGGCATCCATCTGCAGTTCAGCCTCGTCTCAAACAACAGGAGTGGAAACCTAAGACACTTTCTGATTTTGAGAGCGCCTGAACAGCATTTCAGGCTGTGAAGACCAGAGTTTTTAAATGGAATCTGACTTTCAGTAAAATGTTCTGACAGATAGCAGTTAGCAGAAAACTGATTCTATTACAGCTAATTCACTATGAACTTCACAGCACTTCCCTCACAATCCCTATCTATGGGAAGTAAAAAAGAACATGGCAACATGGCTACATCTGTACTACTAAACACTGTGCACTTTAGCTTGTGTGACCCTGACTGACACCACCCAAACTGCACGAAGCTCACTCTCTTGCTATCAGTTTTGTGGAGGGAAGGTGGGTAGAGGTCCAACATGGAACAAACGGGTGAGGTAGCAGCTGAGCAGCATGGTCAGCCAGGGGAGCACACTCAAACTCCCCTTCTGGTCCTCTTGTTCAGTACTAACAGATATGAGCAAGGATGGAAGGGTGGTAGTAGACTGGTAAAAGTTACACCATTCCTGGAGCAATTCCTGGAATTTGCATTTTAATGTACCCTTGCTTTTTTGGTATAAATACAAACATGCTGCATAAAAATGCTGAAGACATTTAAACAGCTATCACCCTGATGAGATACTTCAGGGAGAAGAAAAAATGCTGTAATAAGCATTTAAGGGATTATTCTGTGTTTAACTTTGCTGTTCTATTTAAAACAATTCCTGAACTTTCAAGACTAGAGGAGCAGATGAGAAATTTCTAATTGGTATGGCCAAAGCACTGATAGCTCTTAACAGAAGCTAGTTCATACAAATAAAGCCTTTTTATGGACTGCCAAGATGTACAGCCAAGCCTGAACTACTAACTTTTACCTGAGCTTGGTACTAAACCAGCAGATCAGTGTGTGATGAGAAAAATAGTTGAGGAATCAAGGGAAGGGCAAAGCACCCATATTACTTGAAGATGAAGTGACTGACCAGGTTATACAGGTTCTTGTATGGATAAGGTTTTTACCTCAGATTGCCTAGGTATGATATCAAAATCATACATATATACAGTATCAGTTATTCCTAAATTTAATTATAAAATTAGGTATAATATTTATAAAATAAAGTTAGCAACAGAATACTTGACACCAGCTCAACTCTCAACTTGAAGACCTGTAACTTCTATGAGGGTCTTGATTTTTCATGCATGCAAGAACTTACCAAGTGGAATGCCTTGCTATCTGGTTTAACTTTGTGTTTCTCCATATATTTGATAAGGCTGCAGTTGGTATACCTAAGGAAGGGAAAAAATGTGACACTTACAGTATGCAAATCTGATGCAGCAAAGCTCTCCTAGTAGTCATGTAACATTGATAATATTTCAGTCTCCATTGCTAATCCACTGAGCAGGGAAAAACTGCAACTACCAACAGCAGAGATTGCTAAAAAAACCAAACCAGACACTACAGAAATGCATGTTTCCCTCACATGCTTGTAAAAACACATCACATCTAGACAAAAAACACACTTCTAATCCACATGCAGACACCAAACCATCACTTAGATTTAAACTGCCTTTTAACAATTTTACTACTATACAGTTTCATTCTGTATATTTCTAATACCAGTACACACGGAGATAAACACTAAGCCCACCTTAATACTCCTCTGCAATGTACAGGTTGCTACAAGAACATCCATTAATTCACTATTTTTTTTAAAGGTAACTCAGAAATAAGGTTTCTAAACGGTTAAAATATTACGATAGATGCAAGAAATGTATATAACAGCATAGCTCCAAATCCCTCAGCATGGAAACAAGGAAGGCAACAGTGAAGGGTCTTAAGTGCAGGTATTTGACTCTGGCAATGTGACAGCAAAACTGAAAGGTATTCTTTTCTCTAGCCTTCATGAGCTACACCAGACACCAAACCTGACAATTATACCCACTGTTTGCTGAAAACAATATAAGGCTACCAGATCCCTTTTATGCTGCCATCACAGAAAAAGAATTTCCAGTACCACAGATCTAGAAAGAGCTGTGAAAACCTGTGCTCAGCAAGCTTCAGAGCTGTGTGGGGTCTCTACTGTCATCACTGGTTTCACACCTGCCACCTCCCCATTCACAGTCTGCGTTTGGCTACTCTTGGGATTCACACCACCTCCATCATGAAACAACTTTATTTTTCATTTTTTCAATGGTTATTTAAGTCATAATCATTCCACAGTCCTTGTTTGGCATCTACACGAAAAACAGCCTGAGCTACAAGAAATTTAGGGTAGGAGGGATGAGTAAAATACGCTTTCTTAAGAAAGTTCAACTCAAAGCAGACTTACGTGTTTCTCCGGAAATCTTTCATTAAAGTTGAATGTTCAGGCATCTTTTTTATGTCTTCCCAATCTTTATCTGCAAAAAACCCCAAATCAATATTTATTAATATTCTTTTTTCTTTTTCTCCAAGTAAAACAAAGGCTTTCCAAGTATCTCTGTAGCCCTGATTTTCTCTAACCTGACAGCTACTTATTTCTTTGTACTCCTTGGCTCATATTCCTTCATCACCTCTTCACAATAAATCTTCACAATCCCAACACCTAAGAGGTTCCAGCTGTGTGCTGATTAACTCAAGAACTTTAAAAAAACCCCTAAAACAGCAGCTGCCTGCTACAGTGAAGATCACCACGTGCCCAAAAGACAACACAGAAGAAAAACACATCAGCCACTGTGCACCCTTCAGGAGTTATCCAATTTATTCAGGCACAGGTGTGATTTTGGAACAGGAGTACACGAGACTCCCGCAAATACTGTTGTCTTTTAGGGGATTTGCCATTCTGACAGCACGGCCTTTACATAAATAGGCCCTGGGTAAATTCCTGCTCTCTCAATGTAAAAGAAACACTGTGAGCCAACGAAAGGTTAAGAAAAAGTAACATTTGTACACTCAAATTAAAGAATATTTCATCTCAGCTTCTCTGTGTAGACAAAGCCTGAAATGGATTTAAAAAAAAAACAAACCACAAAAAAAATCACTACCAGCACCAAGTCTCAAATGTATTGTGCTCTTTAACTCCTGAAAAGGTTCTGTGGGCAAGCAGTCGATTCCAGACAAATCCCTACTAAGTCTTATCACAACTGCAGAACATTGGGAGCTTAAAAATATTAAAGTGAATAAATAGATCAGATATTAAAAATCTAATTATTACTTACGTAAATACAATATTATCTTCTTTTTCTATCACCTATCCCAAAGACTTTAGCCTCTTTCAAATATGGCAAGTGACAATTAAAAAGCAAAAAAAAATGCTGCAATTAAATGAAAAATTGTCTCTTGTAAGAACCAAACATCTTCAAAAAAATCAAATACAGAGCATCAGAATGGACTGTTTAAGCCAATCAAAAAAACAATAAGAGTATTGTCTGTTTGTTTAAGCTACGTAAAGACAATAGAAAACCCAACTGAAGTAAGAAAATCCTAAGAAAAGTTAAAATTCTAGGCTAAATGCAGAAAAGAACAGTATAGCCTAAAGAAACAAAATTGAGGGGAACTTTCAAGAAAATAAAAATACTTAATACGCAAAGGCAACACTTCCAGTAATCCCATACAGCAGTATAGAAGTAATGAAGCACATAAAGGACAAAAAAAAAGTCAAAGGGCAAATTTAATAACAAAATCCTTGAGCCACACAAACATAATGACCACAAAATTCATGTGACAAGAAGAAAGTCCGCCAGAACAGTAAAGAAAAAGATTATTAATAGTGAATGGACAACAGCAGGGAACACAAGCAGTGAGGAGAAAGATGATCAAAAAGTCAAAATAAAGACCCTGTTATTCTGACATCTGCAATCACATGTGAACACTGGGAGACGAAGCATTAACTGAAAAGATGCAAGACAGCCTGTAGAAAAACAAGATACGACCAACACTGAGGGGAAAATGCAATGAGTGATATCCATGTTGTAATTTGTTTTGGTTCATGCAACCAGTTCTGTGTTCCAGAGTTTGGAATAAAGACATTTTCTCCATATCACAAGCTTTCTACCAGGGGAAAAAAAAAATTACATACCCTTCCCTACTTCCAAATGCTATGTTTACTTTAGCATGAGTTAAACATCTGCATAATATTAACCAAATGTATAGATTTTTGCTCTGTTTCAATCATCGGTCACTTTCCAAATCTGTAATCAGGACTGAAGAAATGCTTCTGCATATTCCTTCCGATTTTTAATCATCCACCATTAAACATGATCTTTTAAAGTTACAAAGCATTGGTGCATGTATACGCAAAGATAATCCTATCATTTATAATAGGAAAAATATCTAATATGACCATTAGATTCTAGATTTATAACTCATGAAATAAAGGTTCTGTTTAAACAGCTTTGTTGCTTTGATCAGCTGCCACCTTCATATGCAAAGAAAGCAATACAGATATCTTTCTTTGAACAGCAGTGATAAAAAAATATACAGTATGTACCTGCAGGAAATCCCATTACATTGAATATTCTGTCCAGCTGGTCATGGTGATAAGGATTACTAGTTTTGATATCTTCTTGTCGACAATGGAATATTGGCTCTGATGTTAGCAGCTCTGCAAATATACACCCTATGGCCCAAATATCTTTAAAAAAGGAAAACAGAAATTAAAAAAATCAAATTAATCTTTCCAAAAGCATCTTGGTGAGGTAGAATGTTAGTTTTTAGCTCATCAGATACAAGGTCCCTGCACTGAAAATTTCAGGTTTCTGTTGAAGAAGTGCAACACTTCCTCAACTACTCCTTTTAGCCACAGACAGAGGTATGTGGTTCAGTAACTACACAGGAACTGAGAGAATAGCATACAAGTTTTTGTGGGGTTTTTAAAGTGTAGTTACCATTTATTGCTATAAGAAGATAATTTTAAGGAAAAAAAAATGAAGGAAACTATTTGGGTAACTGTCCACACAAAGTACAAGTAAAGACAAGCCAAACAACCTCTCACCCATTCACTGTCATACCATCCAAGAGACACACACCAAGAAATGTGTCCTCTCTGATCAGCCACTGGGTTTAATAAGTATTAAATGACCCCAGAAATACAAGTTGAAAAGCAACGGTGTTGAAATAAGTCAAACGCTATCTATAAAACCTTGCAGAAAGAGAATAACAAGAAAGCTGCTCCATGCCCACATATCTCACCCATTTTTATAACATTAACTTAAATAAAAACAAAACAACAACCCCCCACCAAACACCTGTTTTAACTGTTGTGTCCCAATCTGCAAAACCAGATAGCCTGAATTAACTCAGTTGTTTTCCTGATTTTTTTCTGGTATAAGCAAATGCCATTTTTAACTTGCGTAAAGTAATGCTACACTGAACCCTGAATGAACAAGAAAAGGTCATGAACAAGGACAAAAGCAAATGATGCAGAGAGCATAACCCCATTACTCAGTGTTTGTATACAGTCAGGTTTTATCTATATTGAAAAAAAATTATGTACTAAACACTATGACTATCCATGCAGTTTCACATGCTGCAAGAAGAAGATGCCAGCAAAGTGAAGAAACATGCAAATACAACAAAAAGGCAGTTTAAAGGAACATACAAAGAAATGTATTTAACTTATAAAGGAAATGTAGTATTAACAGAGAAGTAAATGAAAATACATTTAAAGTCAAACACTAAAATTTCTGACAACAGGACCCAAAAAAAAAATAATGGCGAAGGTCTGAGGAAAGCATTTCAGGTTACAGAAACAACACCAGGTACGCCTCCATGTTTGTGTGAAGTAAGTGGAGTGTTGCAGGGGAACTTGTTTCCCCAGAAATCATTGCCAGGCTTTAACGTATCTTTTAAACCAGCCTGCAAGTGAAAAATTTCCCAGTCCTCTTTCCTACAGTCTGTTTCCCTTTCATGGCAAAGCTCTTCAGATCCACTAAAGTTATCCTTCCTCCAGCTGTTCCCCATCCTACAGCCCCACCATACAACAGCTCCTCCTGTCAGCAACTCCTTACCCCTCAGCTGGCACAAGCAGGGACTGGCAAGGTGAAGTCAGCTGTGCCATGCTGAAGCTGATAAAACTCTGACTGGAAGTAGGAATGAAGGAGTGAGGAGGATGCAGCATGAAGCTGATGTAACTAATGCCATCCCCACCACAGTGTCTGTGGTGTTCTGTGAGGCTTTGGTTTTTCAGGATAGGGTTGGTGCCATGTCAGAGCCAAGCCTGTTGCGTGAGCCTGTCACATCTCACTGCTTCAAGCAATTCCTGTTCACATCTGTGCTTTGAAAAAGACACAGAGAGAGCCTAAAATGCAGCTTATTTTTACAGTTTAGTTTCAGTGCAGCAAATACATTCTCCATTCTGTACATCCTTATATCATGTATTTATTACACTAGATAAACCTCCGCAATAAAATTAATGCACTGTGTCTCATCATTGTCATATGAATTCTACTAATAGTTCAAAGATGCATCTGCATTTTGTATAACTTCTAGCAGCATCTGCAAAAATCTTGTGTGAAAGCCACATAAAATTCTATTACATCACAGAGCATTTGGAGCCAAAACCCAGAAATACTTCATTCCTATATCTAGCCAGAGACCATAGTAAACGAAACAATTTGTTTTTGAAACAATTTGTTTAGTATTTCTTCAATAAACCACTAACCGACCTTTAACTCAGCTACTGTCCTTTATACTATTTATCAATGCTTCAATATTTGGATACACTTCAGATAAAGAACAAAACAGTAAATTTTTCATCCAATTTACTTACCAATAGCTTTGGTATAATGCCTTGCTCCAAGAAGCAACTCTGGAGCTCGATACCAGAATGTTACAACTACTGGATCCAAGTCTGCTAAAGGCTTCAGAGGTGAATTAAATAATCGGGCAAAGCCCATGTCAGCTGCAAAATTCAAAGAGAGATACATCAAAATTTGAGGAAAATTACCAATTTTTTCCTTTTTCTTTTTTTAAAACAAACTGATTGAGTTTACTTGTTAGTGCTACCATCACTGTGCTAAATAAAATGCAAATGCAGACTGCAGCAGATACAAAATCTGTGAGCAGATTTTCTTAAAGCTTTTGTAAAAGTTACTGGATGTCATCACCTATAAAGTATATAATTATAAATCATTACTAACATGAGCCACTTAGAACAAAGAATTAACCACTGTTCTGAAAAAGCGCATCAACTCACTTCTCTCAGGACACTGGTAAATCCTGACTCATTTTACCTGATATTCTCCGGTAAAATAATCTGTTATTACAGCATGGTCTTTTGAGAAGCAGCATTTTAAATGTGAGCAAAATGCAGGTTCTGCAAAGGTTAGAATGATTTATAATCCATACGAGCACATCACAAAAGCTCCCTCCTCATGAAGTTAGCTGTAGCAAGATCCTCTTCATACAAAAACAGCAGCTAAGCCTACAGCATCTGCCTCTCTGCTCATTTTCTGTCAAGACATATTTCCAGTATCAAGTACCAGTACTAAATACCATTTAGGCTATGATTTTAAAACTCTTTTTAGGGGCATTACATCATTAAAAACTGCTGTTTAGAATTGGCAGTATACAACTGCTGAGAAAGTTGTCTGAACTACGAAATATAAGCGATATAGGAAAAAATGGGCAGAGATTTCTCCCAAATCGCTTTCCCAACTCACCACTTCCCAAATCCCGTGAAAAAGGGACTCTGTGGTGCAGGGATATACACATGCTGAGAAAGACTCGAATGAGACGAGATGAGTTGCCATTCTGAGGGAAAAGGACCTACATACTATAGCTCACTGCTTGAGGGAGAACTGCAGTGTAAATATCGGTCTCTAACTTGACTACACGATCCTTTAATAATTTTTTTCATAAGCATTCCTATTTATGATTGTTTTAATGCATTTAAAAAGAGAAACATTTCACTGTTTTCTACATTAAAATATTGATTACTCAATATATGATCAAGTCACTAGTAACTATGAAAAATATGGCAGAAAATGAATTTATGACTCAAAATGACACAAAAGGCCTATAAAAATTATTTTAAGTTAAATACCAGTTATGTATTTTTTAAAAAAATTAGTTACACTGGAAAAGTGGAAGCCCTTGGTATGGGTATAACTTCTGCATTCTTTTCCTGCTGTGGTAATATCTTAAGAAAAAAAAATTCTACATTTTGATAACATACGTAGAAATCCAGGGTCCCCCTCCCTCTTCCCCCACTGGGAATGGATGGCTCAGAGGACTGGTGGTCCGATACAGAATCTTTCACCTGTCCATTAACAGAGACTGACTAAATTTAGTTGTGCTTTAAGTTATTCCCAAATTAATTCAAAGCTATCAATTAAGAAATAAATGGGTGGTCTATGTGCAACGACTAGCAGATAGTTGTGTACAGCAAACATCACCACCACAGTTGAAAGTGAACGTGCCCAGAGGAGAACCTACATTCTCAATTTTGGATGCAACCACTTCCTGAAGCATAAAGTAACAGGAATGAATTTTCCCTTCAGCTGTCCAGTCTGTACCTGTTCTGTACAGAGAAGAGCTCAATCTCTACTGTCAACCTTAAACCTCGGAAGGGCATTAAAACATTCAGAGTAGGATCTGCAGAAGTGTTCAGCCCTGGTCCGTCAGCTCCTTGGGCTTCAAAGGGCGAGGGAACGACTAGAGCAGCACTGAACCCTCCAAGAAAATCCTCCCCCGAATCACTGCACTAGTGATTGACAATATAATTCAGATAAACAAAACGGTAAGAGTACAAAGCAACAATGCAGAAGGATAATCTCGTAAAGAAAGCCAGAGGGAAGTGAGAAAGATGAACTAGCTTTTAAAAAAACCCCTTCCAAGTGGGGCTGCATTACCATAACAAATATAAGCAGGCTGTGCATTAGCAATCTGCTAGCAAAGCACTGCTTTGCTAACGCACAGCATGGTATAGCTTATTACTGTTAGACTACGGTTAATTTTATTTATTTATTTACTTTAATTTAAAATGACTGAAGTTACAAATTATCCTCTCACTGAACAGTAACTCCCACCAGAAAATGTTACAATAGTGGGGTTGGGTCCTTCCTACACAGTAGCAGTAGTTCTCACTAAGCGTTTTGGCTGGATTACTGGGTTTTCTGGACTTTAAGATCCCTTGCATTTATCTCCAAGGGACCTCTCTACTCTGTCAAGGACATTCTGTAGGCTAAATAACACCTTAGATTCCATTATCAAATTTAAGGTTTGCAGTAATGAGTAGTTCCCTATTTAGATTTTATAAGCAACAGCAATATAATGTCATGGCATTACAAGGGTAAACTGAGGAAATTTAAAAATTCCATTTCTTTCTCCTCCTTTCCCCTAGCTAGCTCTCATCTTTATCCCCATATCAAAATCCCCCCACCCCACACAAACACCCACTTCAACAAAATATAACGACATTTTCCACTTTTCATTGATGAGGCTACAGCATTTCAGAGCTGGACAGAACTGGTGCATGGGGCTAATATCAAGAAGCCAGTCACTCAAAACAGCATCTAGGCAATGTGCCCAGGCACACACTAGTATTACAGTGACTACTTCAGGTGGTACAACTGCACCTTCAGAACATTCTAACTTAAATGCTACACTGGGACTTATCAAAGATATAAACATACCAATTTTTACTCTTCCTCGCTCAGGACCTTCACCCATAACTAAAATATTAGCAGGTTTCTGTGGAAAAAAAAATAAATATACAATACATATACCACGATAAACCTAAACATTAGTCTCTGAAAAGTTAGTTAAGCTTTGTTTTGTCAGTTTTAAACCAATTTTGTTTTGATAAAAATGACAAGTTTCTCTGTCATAGTAAAGCTGTGCAAGGACCCAGACACAGGCTCTCCCTGACTGCATTTTCCTCATGGTTCTTTTTGGTGCTTCTGTGCTCCAGCACCATGCTCCCTAACTCACACCCTGATGTCTCTTCTCAACCCAAATGAGCTGGCAGTCGCCGAGCTGCCAAAATTTCTACCAAAATTGCCCTAGAACCTTTTGGCAGAAGGCAGTCCCATTGCTGCCCACCACTCTGCACAGGGATGGGAAGTCAGCTTTACACCATGTTTTGCCCAGGGTCTTTAGACACATTTGCAGACACATTTTACATTTTAAAAAAATAGCTAAGATGCAGATTAAACATTACCATATCACCTTATATTGGAGAGAAAAATCATCTAAATTATTCCTATTTACATGTGTGTACCAACTCAGCTGCAAATCTGCAATGCCTTGCCTTTACATTATTTTTCTCTCCGTCTTCATTTTCTTTCTTTTACTAGGCAGGTGAGTTAAAGAATTGAGCTAGAGTTCAACCGGTTAGAAACAACCACTCATTTCTTAATCCTACATTTTCTGCTGTCCTGCTTCTCATAATCCAATCTTGGCATTTGCAGTCAGAAGAAGCCTCCTCAAATACCAAAACTGTTTATATAAATCAAACCCACAGTGCTGATTTGGGGGGAGGAGGGGGGTTTGAAGAGTCAGAAAATTCACAACTAAAGTTGAAAATTTATACTAGACTTGTTTTGAAATGGAGTGATTTAGATACCCGCTCATACTGTAAATCCCGGACAAAACAAGGGCTCCTATTCAATTGTGAACTACAGGAATTATAATAAGGCTGAGTTACAGCTCTTGCTCTGATTTCCCAGTTTAAATTGATCTGAATAAAGGAGTACCCCAGAAAGATGGCTTAGGCTACCCAAAAGTTTATATAATAAATCCTAGTATCTCAGTGTGATTTATGAAACAAGTATTCTGGGAAGTTCTCAAGTCTTCCTGAATCTAGCAGGCTTTGGTAGATTCAAAGAGACAAAAGACCACACATTCAAAGAGACAAAAGACCACAATTTTATATCAACCTAATAGTAATATATATTGTGTAAAACAAGGTGCAAAAAATTAACAATCCAGCAAGAAAAAAAATGCCTTGAGAAACTTCAGTACTACTGCTTATGAAAGACTCCAACATGGATTTCTGAAACTGTACAATCCACACACAAAATACGTAAGAGGAATTTTAGATGCTGCATCTCCGCTGGGAGCAGGTTAAAGATGGAAGAAAATGCCATTGTTTGAGGTAAGATGCATCCTATCGTCTTCCCAACAGCAATAACAACACGTCCAACCTGTGCTGCATTAGCTCGGTGACGTGTAGAAGAACTCATGTCTTACACCACCACCACCCCCTTTCTGTTTTCCTTAATAAAGGCATACACTCCAGGTAAGTATTGCTTCCACATAAAAAAATGCAGCATGTGGGCACAGAGCTCACAAAGCATTCAGTTTTGATTGTTTCTAGAAGTGTCCTACAAATAAACAAGCAGCATAAATCTTTAAATTTGGAGTTAATGTTGAAGTTTAAAGCAATTCAGACTAAGTAACAAAGCACATCATTTCACCACAAACCATTCTATTGCTACACTGTGACTCAAAAAGAAAATATGCAAAGTCCGCTTCAATATATCTGGGATGTTAATAAGCTACATGCCTCATTAGTATTTTTTGAGTAGAGTTAATGATACATTACACAATTTTTTCAGATAAATAATACATGCTTCTATCATAAAATACTTCACTATTTGAATTTTGACAGGGACAAGGAGCCATATTCAATCCATTATGCCAGACGATTAATCAGCACAGCAACGGGTAACAACTCCTGCCACAAAGTTCTCCCACCCTAAGTTCAAGGTAGGTACAGAGGAGATGAGAAAGCACAAAGAAATGAGACAGCGCTGGTTAGCAAAATAAATAGCTACAGCTTGAGTCACACTCGGATAATTTTTTTTCCTCTCAGGATTTCTAGAAAACTTTTAACAATACAGACAATTTAGAAATCCATGTAGGAGTCTTCTAAAGTCACCAAAAAAAAATAAATCAGTCAATCTGGAATAACCTCTTTTTAGGCTCAAAGGCCCCTCACGGAAACAACTCTGTTCGAAACAGAAGGTTCTTACTACAGACAAAAGTATTGACATAGTCACAGCACTGTAAAGAGATAGAATATCACAGTTAAGATTAAAAAAATAAATTTAAAATGAGAGGCCTTATTCTGAAGGTTCCCATCCTTAAGATCATCACATTAGTAGCCTAGAACAACATCATTAGTTGAAAGAATTTTCCAAACAAGACCATTAATCAGTATTTAAACTCAATAGGGGAATATCTACCAGAAAGCAGTATAGGGACAGTACTGGTGTTCCTAAAACATTAGCATTTTGAGGACTCCCTGAACACCATTCAAGTCAAAACAGGCGTCAGAGATTCTTGTTAGATATCTTTGACAGGACAAGGGGCAACACTGACAAACTGGAACACTGGAAGTTCCACCTGAACAGGAGGAAAAGCTTTTTCACTGTGAGGGTCACAGAGCACTGGCACAGGCTGCTCAGAGAGGTTGTGGAGTCTCTTTCTCTGGAGACATTAAAAACTGCCTGGACATGTTCCTCTGCAACCTAGTTTAGGTGATTCTGCTCTGGCAGGGGGGTTGGACCAGATAATTTCCAGAGGTCCCTTCCAACCTCTACCATCCTGTGATCCAGAGAGGAAAAAAACACCAAGCAACAGCCCAGATTTGTCTTTTTGGGCAACTCATTACATCCTAGAAATTTATTTGCAAAGAAAAATAAGCAGTCATTAGAAAGGGAAAGGAGAAATTCAGACAAACTTCAGTTTCATTTGCTACGCTTCAGTTAAATTTTAATTATCCAGAGAAAATGAAAATTTTAAGTGCTTATTCAAAACACTTGGGCTGAGAAAGTAAAGAAAAAATCTTTCAGCAATTTTTAGACTGTGTTCTGAAAACACATCACTTTGATAAGTTGATCATTTGTAGTCATAGAAAAAAGTTATAGCTGTTTAAAGGTCACTCATTTTTGTTCTAATAGAGGCTTATTTACTTTTGCTTTCAAGTAAAGCAATTTGCTCATGCCAAACAAATGCAAATGAGAAAGCTGTTATGATCCTAAACCAAATGTGAAGAGCCATGCAGCAACGTACAGCTGAGTACTTCACAGACCAACAAAATAACTGACAACCCCATAGAACAACATTTAAGAAAAATCACCCTCCCCTGTACCAGCCCACCTCAGCAGCAGGGGAATAATTCATTCTCATGGATAAATGGCCTTGTGACCATAGCACAGCACTAAATCTTATCTTGTCCTAGATCTAGCTTTGCAGTGCTCCTTGTGTGATTTCTAGCAAATCCTAATCTTGTGCATTTAATCACTATTATTACTGCAGAAAGAACAAAGACTCTCACTGAAATATTTTTAGGTACTTCTAATTTAATCATATTTTGCAAAGCACAAACTGAAATCCTAAGCAGCAGGCTAATTTCAAATAAAGGACCTAAAAAAAGAGAGGCTATACAGACAGGTTCATAGATGTATGAAGAGCTTCATGTGACCACCTTCTCCATCTGCCTGACCTGACACATGGTGCCACTCTGTTCACCCTGATCCTAAAGTCTCTGATGATGAAGGCTGCATGATTCCCAGGCAATCTCTTCTCTCTCACTCTTCTCTATTGCAAGGGTTTCTCCTTTCCAACACAACAAATGAGGCTACTCCCGTTGCCTTTTCTCTTACACTGCATCAGCAGAAAGAGTACACAACCACTCCTTCACTGCAAGGACTTCTTACACTTCTGAAGGTCTACACCTCATTTCAGTCCTTCCACCTAGATTATAAGAGCTCTCTTCTGCTGTTTCCTAGTAGGTTATTTTTTTCTGGATGTATGATAATTCTTCTTGCATCTCTCTAGCTGTTTTGCCTTAGGCCACCTATTAATTAGAACTTAAGTGCTCCAAATTACACATTCTCCTGCTGAGGTTTCACTAATGCTAAATACGGCAGAGGGATCATTTTACATGCCTTGCACAGCATCTTCCACTTCGTACAATCCCAGTATAGTGTCTGGTTTTGCCTCACTGTGTAAGGGTACTCATTCACATTAAGTTTGAAATGTGCATTTTCTTCACATCTTGTCTGCAGGACTGCTACTTATTTTTTCTCTCTTTTTTTTTTTTTAATCACTGTTCAATTTCAAAAACCACTGCAGTCACATACTTCTTAACGTACACTGAAAATGTCTGTGTATGTTCCTTTCCATTCAGAAAGGAAACTCAGACTTCAAAACTTACTTGGGTTTCTATTTTGCAGATAAACTAAACAACTTGAAAGCTATACCAATCTACATCTTGATGTGATCGTAACAAAAAAAGGCAGCAATCCTGTTGCTCACAGCAAGTTTTTCATCAGACCGAGAAGTGATTGTTTATTTTACGTCCACGTACTAGATGCCGGGAAATCTCAGGATATTTTCTCATGCTGTTGGGTCCTCCTCCCACTAAGTTTTATTCACCAAAGCAGTGAGGAAGAGAACTGGCATCTTTGGACAACTTAGCCATTATGATCTTTGATACTTACTACTTTTAGCATCAAACCAGGTCTGTAGGAACTATTACTTCACATATCTTTTGCTGCTAGGCTGTTTCTGAACCGATTAGTTTTCAAAGGCTGATTTTAAACATACCTATAAATTCCTTTGAATTGTGTATGGTATTATAATGTAGATGCTACATATTTTCCTCCCACTTATTGTTTGCAGTAGTTCCATGTACACTTATGAACAGACTCACCCTTTCTACACCTCCATTTTAACACACC